AACAGTTATGTTTGAGACTAATACCTGAATTTAAATAGTTTCTGTGCACATCATCAGTTATCTTTATTGCTCTTTAACCATTCCTTAATTTTGATTCATTTATTAGAGTACTTATTTGAGTGTTGTTCCCCCCCCCCCCTCTGGAGAGCTATGTGGCTTTATCTTTCTGAGTCACTACATATCTGAAAATGAATTTCTATTATCTTAGTTGAGCAACATGATTGGGTATGGATTTCTTGTGAATAACTTTTCTCCTCAAAACGCTTTGGTTTTTATTGATATTTATCATTGCCTAACAATTAATTTTGAAGAGAAGTCAAGCCTAGTTCAACTATTCTGTGCAACTTTTGATGAGTGGGGGCGTTTCTGCCTACTTGTAGGATCTTCTTTATCTTTGAAGCTTAAATCAAGATGTGTCTGAGTTTTCTTTTTTCATTAATTTTTGCCTGGTGACCTGTTCACCCTGACATCCCAGCCCCACGGACATTTTTGATGTACACATTAAGCAATTTAGCTAAAGAAATTCTTCTGTTTATCGTATATATCTCATTTTTGTCCATCAGTTGTTCGCATTAGTTTTCTTTTCTTTCCATGTAGAACACTTACTCAAGGTTACCTTCTACATTACCAAAGTTATCTTCTACATTGTCAAATCTACTCTTGAATGCTCCTGCTCCCTTTGGGGATTATTCTGCACAGAGAAATTTCATTACCTTTATGGTTTCGAAGCCACCGTACTTGATTTTTGTACCTGGTGTTTCTTCTTGAAGTTACTTGCACACCACATCAGTGGCGGTCCCATTACATGTCCTTCTTTCCATGGTGGTGCTTTTCATAGATGCCCACATACCTGAGTCTTTGGGTTCATTTTGACAAAGAAGCTATAAGCTAAGGTTTATAAAAAACTGCTTCTTTGAACAACCCCTGAGTTCAACCCAACTTCCTATAAGTTTTTTCTTAATAATTGTCACAGTCTGGATCCCATTATCAGACACAAACTCACATTCTATTGATCCTTAATGACTAAAGGAAATCCAAATTGAACTTGGCTTTTTATGTGTTTTGGCCTGGGATCTCTTCCACTAGACCACATTATTCTTTCAAGAAAGTGTTTTTCAAGTTAGTCTTGTAGATTCTTGAAGTTGCTTTTATTGCACTAGCATATCTGAAAGTTTTTAACTTATAAATGATGCAGTATCCCTCTATTTTTACTCTTCAAAGTTCATTCTAATTGTATTTAAGGGAAGAGATGAATATGGGTCCTGCCATCTTTTCCTAAAACATGAAAAAGTTTTTATATAGGCTTCCCATTCATACACATTTGATTTTTTTCCTTGATCCAAGAATAATCAGGAGGAGTTTTCTTGATTGGTTGTTGTTGTTACTGTTGCTTTTAATTACCAAGAATTCTACCAAAATATTTAAAGATGAAATTATGATATCTGGGACTTGCTTTAAAATAATATGGGAGAGGAATATGAAGATGGTCAATTGTGGTTATAGGTGACACAAGATTTACCGTGGTTGATACCTGCTGATGGGTACCATTATACTAGTCTCTACTATTGCATATGAGTTTGGAATTTTACATCATGAAATTTATTTTTAATTTTCCAAGAGTTTAATTTCTTCCTTAGAAAAAATGTTTTCCAATTGCATTGTAGTTAGAGAATGTGCCTTATATAATATTTAATCCTAAATTTATTGTGGTTTTCTGTGTGAATTGATATATGATCAGTTTTATAATTTCCATGGAGATTTGAAAAGAAATGTATGTCTAATAAGTCAATCTAATTTGCGATTATATTCAAACCTTCTATAACCTAACCTATTTTTTGTGTGTACTTAATCTGTCAGATACTGTAAGAGGTTAAAATTTCCCACATACATAATAATGCTACCCCTATAATTTGATGCTATTTTGAATGGACTCTTTTTCCCCATTGTTTTGGTCACACTTAACTTTTTAATTGAATAGTTCCATTTAAAATCGTTTCTATATTATATGCCAACTTTGATATTTGCCTCCATCCTCTAAGTCTGTGATCTATGGCATAGAATCCACCACCAAATAAATTGATGCAGAGTTGATATAGCTCACCCCACCTGAATCTATTCCTAATGTTGAACAATGGAACCTAATTTTCTGTAGTTGCCTGATGGGATTGTACTGCCATCTGGATTCCAATATTTTACCAGTCTTGTGTTAAATATATAGTGTAATAGGCAGATTACTGTAAGAGCTCAGTAAGTACTTGTTTAATTAAGATATTAACTATTCAAAGTGATGTTATTGACTTTGAGAAGAAAGAGAAATGTGCAGTCTAGCATTTGTAGTTTAATGAGTGAACACAATATCTGTCATTGTGTAAATTCAAGGTCATGATACAAAATTAAATCTGAAGACAGACTATAAATTTAAATTTTGTAATTTAGGTGCTTTCTCATGCCTGTTAATACTTTTTCATTTTTAGAAATATAACTCTTTGAAAAGCCAAAAAAAGACTTCATTTTTATTTATTGACAGGATGAGGGGATTAGACTGGGTGTGAAAACCTTCGCTGAACTAAGAAAGGTTGAGTCTCAATTGGATATATTTAATTATGACACTGAGAACAAGTACTAGCCCTCAAGCCAGGGAAATAAAACTTCAAAAATCGTAACAATTTGCCTAAACTATAAATTTCTGGGAATTAGAATTATGTAAAGAATCTGTTCAGAGGAATAAGGTTAGATTATGTGCCAAGGGACCAAAAGTCATGTATTTTAAAAATCTTATGAAAATTTAAATTATAAAGGATTTTTATGTATATAATAATAATACTGTTTATTATGAATATATAATACTGTGTTTCTGTCAGTCATTCCATATTACTAACTCTCCATTTTGGGTGTTGTGGGTGGAAAAATATCATATTTATGGTCTAATAATATTGTTTTCTCCCCTAACCATAATATAAAAAAATACGAATTTTAAATCTGTGCTCAATTATGAGTAACAGATTTATAAAGAACATCTCAAAAATATTAGTGTAAGATTTTGATTTTAAAATTCTACATGTTTACTGTTATTTTTAGATAAAAATTACTTAATAAAAATTATTTTTAGTTTATGTTTAACTACTACATAATGAGTTCAGTCAATTCTGAAAGACCGCACTCTCCAAAATATGTCTATCAATACTATTGCCTGAGTGATTCCATGTGATATAAGTAATCCCTCATTTGCAGAAAATATGTCACATAATTTTGAGCAGATATTTGTGTCTAAATTTGTATTTACTCTTCTTTTTACTTGTGCATTGGAAATTCAAAAAGAATAGACCTGTTTTATTTATCTATTTAAGTCCACTGTGGGTCTGTACTGGAGAGAAACTGCCTCATTTTAATCATCCTTTTGCCTTTGTTCATGTCTTTGGACTGTACATGCTGTCTGTTGCGGGACATCCCGGGATCAGGGTGAAATGTGTTCAGCTGCATACTCTCCTGGTGCTTAAGTGATACATCTGTGCATATGTCTCTGCATCAGTATACTGTACCTCCAACAATGAAGAAAAGTGTTGGACTCATCAGCTGTCAAGCTGCCAGCTAGGAAAGAGTTCTTTGTTCAAATTGAACTTATATAGAATACTTGGAAGGAATGGAAAGGAACGCTTTACCTCCTTTCCAGGCTCAAATACGTGCCTTGTAAAGCTGCAGGGGGAAAATGAGGAATGGTAAAGATTCTCCACGACATTAGTTTGTATATTTATGAAATGATTGCTTCCGTTCATTCCACCTTGAAAGTTAAAGTTTGGTACAAAAAACAAAATAATACTTCTGAGGTATCAATGAACATACAGGTATGTTCATCGATACACCCCTCCTTCATCTTACTGTCTATAACTACAAAAGCAAAGGGGTGGAGAGCTGCAGGGCTTAAATAGCTACTAACATAACAGACTTAATACCTGCCTGGATCAGGAATGGTAGAAGGATTAATCTGTAAAATAATCACATCTAGAACTTTCATATGGTAAATATAAGACATTGTATTAATCAGCTTAACTTATTTGTGAAGTACAGTAACAAGTAGGTTAGTTACAGTGTTTTGGATGGATTTGACCAGTTTCCTCATTTTAAAATCTTTAATTAGAGAATCTTATTATAAACTGGCAGGTAATGATAGATTGTGAATTTGGAAATTTAATTCTAATTAATAAGAAGATTGATCATACTTGTTAATGTAATACAGTAGGGGATAGAAGAACTCTCATAAATTCGACAGAATGTATTAGGCACATGACTTTTAGATGGGAATTTGGCTGTATTGCTGTTTAAAATAAGCTGTTTAAAATTATTGGTATGTGTCTATCAGTGTCTATCCAGAGAAAAATACTCAAACTTGTGCACACATTAAGCTTATTGCTGCATGATTTGTAATACTAAAAAACAAAATTGAAAATAGCTAAATGTATTACTAGAGATAATACATTTAAAGACTGAATTAGTAGTGTATGTATTGCCATGGTTAGATCTCTAAATATATTGTTAAATAAAAATATGCACAGAAAATATATAGAAGTATGCACATGAACCTGCGGTTAACTCTTGTGAGTGAGATTAGGGAGATCAGGGGTTAGAGAATCTTCTCATTTTCACTTGGTTTTTCAGTGTATAATTTTTTTTTAATCCATAAACAAAATACTGGCACTCATCCACAGGTGGTTATCCTTTGATATTCCTTACTTTTATATTTTTGTTTGAGTAGTAGTGTAGTCTTTTCTGAAAAGATAAAAACACTTTTAGAGTCATTGCATTGAGTTTGTAGTATTACTGCTGAAGTGACTATTCCACAAATATAAGAGGTTTGTAGTGTCTTAATATTTTTTAACATTTTAGGACCTCTAGGAAAAGAGAAAGGTATATGTGGTAGGAGTTTTAAAAATAAGATTTATTTTTAAATCTATTTATTTTTAAATTTATTTTTAAATCTCTGCCGTGCTGTTTTTCTATTTCAGTTACCTAGAAAAGTACGAGAAAGTTCATCATTTTGGGGAGGATGATGATGAGGTACCACCAGGCAATCCCAAGCCACAGCTTCCTATTGGTGCAATTCCATCTTCCTACAATTACCAGCAACACAGTGTATCAGGTAAAAATATCATTGGAAATTAACAGGGCATAGGTCCAAAGTTTTGAATTAGGAAAATAGATATTATTCAATGAATTTGTCCCTTACTTTCTACTTGAGAACACTTAAACCCTTGTGGTAATGCAACTTTCAAAGATCAACATCTAATTGGAATCGGGGCATTTCTATCATAGGCTGTATAAGATTTTTAGTTGCAGGAATTTCCAGAGTTATAATACCTATCCTTTTAAGTGAAATTTTTTCCTTATTTCTTTGGCTAATTATCCATTTAGCCTGAATAGTCACTACCTTGAAAAGAGGAAGATTCTGTTAAAATTATGAAAGCCAAGAATACTTAGATAGCATCTGTCAGATTTTCTACAATTATTGGAATTCCCAACACCAGAATTCCTCAGAAATGTTTCTAACTATTCTCCTGCTGTGTTCCAGGAATAAGATTTTTTTCGGTTGTCATTCTTGTAATGGTTATAGATGAATCTGCAGCTAAGAAGAACAGGACTCAAATTGGAAATAACCAGGCTGAGAGTCTAATAAAGAGGTTCTTGAAGCGGAATAGATGGTGGTTCCAGTTTAGAGACTTGGGGGTTGGGGCTGTGATGACTAGGAAGAGTGCTCTGAAGAGATAAACGTCTCTTTTCTTCAGTCACCAGCATTTGGCCTAAAAAAGAAGAGCTAATGTCTTTTTCAACAGCATCTTCTTTATAAAATACATAATGATCTAGATATTTATTCTTTGTTGGTTGCTAGTCCCAATCTCTTGTAGGTAATTCTTACATTTAATATCTCTCATTTGTGCCAGTATCACTAATTTTCCATTATCTATTTTCAAACTTTCTTTCATGTTGAATTTGACTCCATATTTCTTCCCCAATCAGTAATAACTGAAGAAACACAATCTATGATCTCCATTAGGATAGGCTTCATGTGATGGTTTTATATAATTGGAGCCAGGTGGTAATGAGTGCAAACCAAACCTAGCTTTGGTTTTAATGAGTGGTTATTACGTCAAGAACCAAAATTAAAAGAGAACATTTTAAGTCACCATGTAGACGATCTTGCTAATAGTTTAAGCTGAAAATAAAATGGGATGACTTATTAGGTGATATGCTCCCTGTTCCTAACAGGGGCTAATGACCATTCTCTCATTCAAGGGTGTTATAGAGGGTATTTCTACATTGAATGCAGCCTTGTACTAATGACCTTTAAGACCATTTTCAGCTTTATAACTCTGTGGTTGGTTCCTATATTACAGCAACCTCAGAACTGTCCATTATTGTAGCTTAAATAGAGTTTGATGCCTGCTATTACAGATCCCCAAACTCACCTACTTCTGTGTTTGACCTTGTTTAATATGATTTTTTTTCTAGATGTGGTTCTTTATTTCCTCCTCTAATTGAAACAGATTTGCTTCAACAAAGAAGATGTAAAATATTTCTGATATTTCAGAAGTCTAATGAAAGTCATTGATAGATCTACACTAGTTAAGGGAATGAAAGAATTGCTTAACCTGGCGTAATAACTTCTTTCTGATACACTTACTGCCTGTCATATGTCTGGCTTTTTTTTTTTTTTAAGGGAAATCTGAGCAGTTACATAAGATGTTATATGTTTGACAAAATCAGAAAAGGAAAAAACTAGGAATTGCTGGGGAATATCAGACTAATTAAAAGAGGTAGTATTTCAGGGAAGCATTTATGAATTTGAAGATGCTCTTTATTTTTCTAGAAGGAGTCATAGCAACATTATGACAGTGTTCTAAAAATTAACATGATAATATACAAAACAAATCCTTCACTGATGATTCTTTTCAAGTGTTGCTATAAAAGTATGTGTGTGTGTGTGTGTGTGTGTGTGTGTGTTTTATAAATAAACACCAAAATAGAATTAGGTTGTGGTAGATTAAGAGCCTTTAGGAAGTTTTAATTAAAACCTTTAAAAGATTTGTGTTTACATCTGTGATCATACAGCTTTATTCTCCTTGTATGTTTGGATAAATGTATTCGGATAGATGTATTTATCTAGAGATACTTATTATTGATATTAAGAAAAGCTATTCTAAAACAATATTTTGAAAGGTAATTAATAAATTTCATTTGGCAGTAGTCCCAGGGCATTTGGTATAAAGTGCGATTCTACTTATAATTGTCATAATAGAATAGAATAAAGAGAATAGTGTACGTTAATATTGGACCAAATTTTCCTTTAAGAATATTGGCTCCTTTTGCCTGATAACTTATATAGCAAAAAATATTGAGCAGATTTTGCTTTGAACTTTAGAATTATTAAACTTTGACATCAAGGTTTTTGTTTTTTTTTCATTTATTTGCATGGTTTTTCATATTTTTCCTTGCCATAAATACCTAATTCTTTAGTTTCCTTTTTTTCTCTGTTCTTTTTTCCTTGGTATTGATTTGGATACAGTCAGTTCTGCACTATTATAGGCTAGATTATAGGACTTTTTGTTCACCTCCTTACATTTTTAAATTAAAATTAAAAATTCAATTTTTAAAATTAAAATAAAATATTTAATTTACTTGAAATATCTTTAGTAAAAAAATTGTGAAAGGCAAAATTAACAAATAACTCATTGAGATTAATAGAACTGTAGAATTTTAGAGCTAGCCATGATTTTAGTGATTATTTAATTCAGTCCAAATCGTTTTGGTAAAAGCAGGCCAAGTACTCTGTCCATTTACATTTTTGGTACTGAAATTTGGAAAAGTTTCATACGGAAGACTTTGTTGTTTTAGTTTTATCAGTTGTATTTGAGCAAAGATTTTCCCTTAAATGTTCCATATTGTAGCAGACATTTGCACTACAACAATCACTGCCAATATCAATATCAAAGTACTTTATAATTCCTGCAATGTAAACAGCACTCCACAGGAGCAAGTTTCCCTTTCTTTGAACTGAAAAGAAAGAGAAATGATTGCCTCAGATTCAATTAAGTTTGTTAGCAGTGATCCATTTGTGTAAACTTTGAGTCAAGAATGTTGAAAATAAATTTCCAATCCTACTCTGATTATAAAATTGTAGCTACTCGACTGTATTTCTTTTGGAAAGGGAAGGGAGGCTCTTCAAATCTTATCAACATTTTTATAAGCTACATTATCTTAGGAATCTATTTTGAGCTTGATATAATTAAAGACTTTTCATAATTATTATATTTATTCATTGAATGTGGATTCCAAATTTTTTTCTATTGAAGAATTTGCTTGAAAGTTTCGTGGAATCTAAAAACTTAACTATTGCTGAGACTTGGATTCTTATGATCAATTCTAGTGCATAGTATAGAGTAATGTCAAAAACTATTCCTGTATTCATAGAAGTGCTGTTACTTTTTTCCAGATAATTTATTTTCTATTATTTATGAGAACTTTCATTTCAAGATTATTAAAATGAACAATATGTTATTGTTCAACCTTAAATATGGTAAAGAATCTGTTCATAGCCATTTATAGCTGTATTGTGTGTGGCACTTCTTCACCATTATACTATTGGAGAAATTTCTAGAATATATTAGAATTGAATAGGTGCCTCCTCAAATGTCTATATTGGAAAATGGAGAAATTTTTCACCTACGTGATTTCTTCTGTGTCATGTTGTGGCAATAAATTCCTACTTTGCATCCTAAATTTTTTTTTAATCCATGTTTCTGAAATGTTTCATGTAAAAGTGTTCTAACTCTTGTTTTCTTGCCCCTTCCCATTAGTTGTATCTTTATGTGAAAAATGTACTTGGGTATATGTCTCAAGACATAGTTACCAAAGCCTAAACTGCTCCAAGAGTCGGTATTTCTAGAAATATAACATTTTTTATATGTATATATTCCAATTTCATATTATGTTCTGTAACCCTGTCTTCCCAACCTTCAAAGTCTTAAAAGTGTTTTAAATTAATTCTCCTACAGAAAAATTTAGTTACCTTGGGTTAAGAAAAAATTTTTAGGACTCAAAAGCATGAACCGTAAGGGTAAAAATTTATAAGTCAGACTATATAAAATTAAAACCTCTGTTCCAAAGACACTGTTAAGAAAATGCAAAGACAATCCATGGTCTGGGAACAGAAAGGAGATGTAAGTAGTTATGGGTAGAAGAGGCGATTGACTACAAAGGAGCATGAAGAAACTTTTTGGGGTGATGGAATGACTATATCTTCACTGTGGTTGTGGTAAAAGACTGCATTTATGAAAACTCATAGAACTACAGAACTAAAAATTATGAATTTTAGTATGTTAATTATGTCATAATAAATATGGCCTAAAAAAGTAATAATTCTAAAATTAGGTAAAGAAGGTAGGCGGTGTTATCCAAAAACATGATATTGTTAAAAATCCCAAAGGAACCAGTCTCCCTAGTTTTATAGTATATAAAAATCAGAATAAGTCCCTTGAAATGCAAGAGTACAAAAGTAGATTAGATAAAGTAATGGCAATTAATTTGTTAATGACATCCAAGAGGGTATGTACAGTTTTGTATTTTAATACTTTTTGAAGAATTTAATTTTAACTTAAGAAGTTTAGAAAATTGAACTCTGTAAACTTCTACTCAGTTTATAATTTATAAAAGAAAACAAGGTTCTGTCCTGTATTCAGAAGATATTACCCATAATGGTTTCTATTCCTTGATAAACTTAAAGTGTTTTTGTTTTATCTTGTTAGATTATCTACGTCAAAGTTATGGGCTATCTATGGATTTCAATTCGCCAAATGATTATAATAAATTGGTGCTTTCACTGTTATCTGGACTCCCAAATGAAGTGGACTTTGCTATTAATGTATGCACTCTCCTATCAAATGAAAGCAAACACGTCATGCAACTTGAAAAAGACCCTAAAATCATCACTTTATTACTTGCTAATGCCGGGGTGTTTGACGACAGTAAGTTTTAAGCTGAACATATTGTGTGATCATTTTATATAGGTGTTTACAGACTTTTTAAAAAGGTATTTAAGGAGAAGAATACTTTTTATTAGTCAATGTAATAGCATTCTTCATTTATTTTGATTATAGTAAACGTATTATTTAAAATAATGTTTGGTTTTTTTTAATCTTAAATATTTGAATAGTAATTTAGTCTCACTAGAGCTTTTGAAATAAAAATTTTGTGTTTTTCTTAGTTACATATGGCTTTCTTAATTTGAGAAGATTGTTTGCTCCAAATTTTAATTTAAAAAAACTAGGATCTGGAAGAAATTATTTTTCTGAAATTTCTTTCTGCTATTTGTATGGTTATAATTTTTTAAAGTAGTTTAGATCAATGCATTTGAAAATTTGCTGCCTAAATCAAAATAAGATTTATCAAATATTTCATACCCTTTTTACTTCTAGGATTTGCTAGTTACAGGTTTTTATAAACATGTTTTTTGTTTTCTGTGGAATTATCTCTTACTAAATCTATTCTTCAGACCAAATTGCTCAGTTCTCTAACTGTAGTATAATAGTTTCATAGGAATTTAGAAAATATGTTTTGAAATCTTTTCCTGCTCATAGTTTTTCTCTTTAAAATATCTGTGTCAGCTGAATGTTAGTGCTAGAAAATTTTTTTGCTTCTCAACCCTCCTACACCAACATTATTGTAATTTCTTTTGCCAGAAGTATATCCTATTAAGTGATAAAGTATTCACATATATGGAAATTATTTTATCATACAGGAAACTACATATATAGCACCATAGACAGTCTAAGAATTTCTTGTCATATTTTATGGATTCATGACTTTGTTTTTATCTTTAAATAGCAACATGTTTGCACATGAGTTTATTTTTCTGCAATTTCAGTTGTGTCAAGTAGTGTACTTTCAAACATAAATTTATTTGATATTACCTAAGTAGGAGTCCTTAAAATTTGACATGTACTTATTTTGTAGGAAGACAATTTGGAATTAGTTTAAACAAAAGTGAAAATTAGTTTCTTGCTCTGCCTGAAACTATTTTTGGTTACATGGGAAGGAACGAAGATCAGTACTTCTCAGTTTGTATGGCAACTTTGAAGATCTAAATTTGGTGGATTTCCATCTCAATTTCATGTTCTTTGGTTCCTAATATTTTATTTTGATCTTTTAAAGACATCTTTTAGCATTTAATTTAGAATGGAGCTTAAAATTGTTTAACATTTTTAGAAACCGTAAAATGAAGTTTTTAGAAAGAATAAATATTCTCAAACCAGAGTAATTTTTTTGAAGTCTTACCATTTAATCATTGTCTAAGCATTACTCGTATATAGTATGTTAGAAGTAATCTTACCAGTTTGGTGCACTGAGGCATGATGTTCCTTAGACCCAGTTTATCTTCTTGCATTCTTTAGGCGTTTTTATTTATCTAAAAGACTTAAATTATTACGCAATGTAGCAACAATCTAAAACATTAATAATTTAGAAAATGCTATTTAAGGAATGTTACTACCATTCCAACAGTCAGAAGTTTAGAATTCCAGAGTACATAGGGACTTCATGAAGACCTGGAACTTAAAACATTGGTTTTACATTACGAAAATAATTTATTCAAATTTGAGGATTATGGATATATTTGATTTGGTTAGGCTTTTGAGAGATTTTTATTTTTTAGGGCATGGAATTCAAATTGAGAGATAAATATAGATGCTGCTTGCTTTGAAAATGTGAAATGTTTATGTTTTGTGTGCTTGAAGAAGTATAATAAAAATTCCGTGTGACAAAAATTTAATTTTTCCATCTTATATTTCCATCCAATATTCTTTTTCCAGTGAAGTTTTTCATTATGAGGTTTTTTTCAGGACAACCAAACAAAATCTTTTCTCTCTTTAGTGGTATACAGGCTTCATTTTTCTGGTTAAGCTGCTACTTATATGTAAGTTTGATATTTTATGAAATTCTTCTTTAGGTCACTGTAGTAAAATTTTTTATTAAAAACTTTCACATCTATTGTTTGTATCATTTCCTCATGACCCTAATATCAATAGTAAAATTCATTGATAAATATAATTTATGTTAAAGTGTTTCTATTCTTCACCCTTTTTATGTTTTTGTTTTTGGTTTTTTGGGGTTTTTTTTAGCTGAGCCATCCTACCACCTGTTGGCAGCTCAGCTCGGGCCGTGAATCGAACAGGCGACCCTGTTGCTCAGAGTTTGTACTCTTAAGCGAGCTCTTAACCAACTGAGCTACTCGGCTGGCCCTTCACCCTCTTTAATACTTTTCTAAAGAAATACTTTACAAACTTTATTTTACTCGATAATAAGTAACTTTAGGTCTATACCTAAAGGTATAATAAAACTATAAAGATTCAATATTTTACAACAAAATATATTCATTTATTATGCTTGTCACAAAACATCCATTAAAGAGACTTACTTTTGTTTTTTGAAAGAATTACATTCATAAAAACTATATTTTCTGTTTATAGCTGCCACTAGTTTTCTTTTTGCATTCCAAAAGCAGTAGCTTTCATTATAGAATTAATCTGATACTTGATGAAACCACTTACCTAACTTTTAAAGGAAGATATATAGTGTCACAGTTTAGACATTTATATCATACTGTTTTACTATCTGGTCCCATAACTGACAATATAAGCTAGCAGCATAAAGGAGAAAAAAATCATATAACATGTACCTTTATGCCTTAACCTTTGTTGTGGGGGATCTGGCAGGGTGTTACTAAGAAGCAGCTTTTGAAAGTGGATGGTTTGACTTTTCCTCCTAAAACAATGTTAATTCAAGAAGTAGAAACAAGCTATAGGCCTGAGAATGATTCTTAAAGGAGATTTCATTTGTGGGAATTATTTCCAAAGAATGTGTTGCCATATATTATTGAAATATGAATTACACCATTATTCTTTAAATTAGTATGAAAATTTTAAATTATAACAATTTGGCAATTTAATAGCAATAGCATCAGTTTGATTTTATTTTTCTCTTCAACAAATGAAAGAAAACTAATGAGAGTAACTAATACTCTTTTCTTATATCTATCTAAATATTATGAAAATGCGTTGTGTATTTTTAGTTTATAGAGACACAAATTTTCTTTAAATTCCATAATTTAAAAAAAACGATTTCAAAAGAGATTATTATGACTTTCTATCATTTACTATGAAATAGTTTTTAGTGAACAAGATATCTTAAAATGTATTTTTGCTGTCTTTTCAAACCTACCTATTAAGGAAATAAGTGAAAGAAATATTTCTGTTTTATTGAATATACTATTCTTTTAGCTTTAGGATCCTTTTCTACTGTATTTGGACAAGAATGGAAGGAGAAGACTGATAGAGATTTTGTTAAGGTAATTTTAATAAATTAAAATATTGAACCATTGAATTACATGTAGCCAAGGGCCAAGGATCAATGAATGTTTCTCATTTCATATACATAATACTACCCATACCATAATCTTTATCATAATACATAGAGATACTTATTTAAAAGTTGTGATGAAGTTGAATAAAAAATCTTTCAGAATAGCTAATTATCAGAAATGAAGTTCTTATTTTAATTATACATTGATTACTGAAAATTATAAATCTCTAACAAAAGCAGTAAACTTGAGCATACCCAGATTCTGAGCAGCAGTTTGGATAACTTCCCTAGGGTTGTTTTTCAGTTGACTTAATCACTCTTTAGCTGTGTCTAATATTCCTCTTGACACATTTGTCAAGTTTTATTTTAGTGACTGTTTTAATTTCTAGAAATTCACTTTGTATTTTTTCAAACTAGCCTTTTTTGTTCTCTTCTTATGCTTTTAATAATTTTAATAATTTAAAAGTATCTTTTTACTAATATAATTTAAGTTACATATAATATATAAACATAATTGTAAATATAACATATTATATGTAAATTAAATATATGTACACATACACACACACCTGAAGATTCTAATATCTAAGCCTCTTGCAACGCTAATTCTACTCACTCTGACTTAGGGTGGAATATTCCTTTGTGTTTTGTAATGTTGGTTTATAAATTTCAGCAGATTTGTTTCTGTGAGATTTTCTTTCATATTGGATGGAGAGTTGGGGTTTTTTTTTTCATTTTTGGGTTGCAGTTGCCAAAAATCTGAAAGGAAATACTGGTCAGAATTACTTTTTTTTAATTTTTAGCTGCTTTTTTTTTTTTAGATTTTTTTATTGGGGTATTGGGAGAGGGGAACAGTGTTGGGGAATTGGAGAAGGGGAACAGCCAAGTTATTGTCCTTAAATCTTAGTTGTGGAGGGCACAGCTAGCTCAGCTCCAAGTCCAGTCGCGCCACTCAGCACATTTAAACAAGGTGCTGTGTTTAATTAGTTGTGGGTGGGTGTGGTCACCATCTTATGTGGGAGTAGAACCAGCAACCTTGTTGTAAAGAGCACACACTGTATCCACTGAGTCATCCGGGCAGCAGCTCAGCTTAAGGTGCTGAGATCAGTCTTAGTTGTGGGAGGGCGTAGCCACCATCCCATGCAGGAGTCAAACCGGCAGCCTTGTTGTTAAGAGCGTGCGCTCTATCCCCTAAGCCACCCAAGTGGCAGCTCAGCTCAAGGTGCTGAGTTCAGTCTTTAGTTGCGGTAGGCATAGCCCACCATCTCAAACAGGCAACCTTGTTGTTAGGAGCACGTGCGCTCACCAGCTGAGCCATCCTGCCACCTGTTGGCAGCTCAGGCACAGCTCACTGGCCCATGTGGGAATTGAACCGGCTACACTGTTGCTCAGAGCTTGCACTTTTAAGCAAGCTCTTAACTAACTGAACCACTTGGCCAGCCCTCAGAATGCCTTTATATTAATTTCTTTATTGGCGATTTCCTGATAATGCTGATAGTAAAACGATGGGGGTTGCAGAACAGGTCTAGTGGTGAAATATTTAGGAGATTATTTTTAACTCAAAGTTCAAGTAGAGACAGTCAATCCCTTTTTTCTCCCTCATTAGACCTTCAAATTTCTCACGTGATATGGAGTTGCATTTCAAATTCTCTGCTTCACAAACTGACCCAAAGTCCTATGTCCTGTCCTCTTCCTACTCATTTAAAGCCAAGTCTCTTGGTTATAGTTAAGCAGATAGTTTTCAAAACTCCAGAATATTGGTAATTAAAATATAAGATACACAAAGTGTTTATTTACATATTTACACGTCACAAAGGGGCATGGGGGTTGTCAGTATAATCAGTAATCACATAAAATCAAGAAAACAAATAAGTTAAAGATAATTAGATGATCACCTCTGTTGTATGTTTTCATTAATTTCTGCTCTTTATATTTTTTTGTATATACTATATTTGGGGGGTTTAATTTGCTAAACTTTTTCTAACTTCTTGAGCTGGAGCTTACCTCACTGATTTTTGTTGTTTTTTTCTATTACATTTAAATCCATAAAATTTCCTGTAAGCACACATTTAACTTTATTCTTTCCATTTTGATATATAATGTTTTTATTATATGTCAGCTTAAAATGTCTTCTAATTTTCATTATGATTTTCTGTTTAATACATGGACTATTTAAAAGGGAAGTTTCTTAATTTCTAAAAATATATGAAGTTTTTCTTTAATATCTAACAACTTCACTATAGTTGTTATATCTTTCTGGTTAATTAAACATATTATAAAGTGTCTTTTTTTACCTTTCAGTCTACTTTTTTTTTTTTCTTGGTCCGATTATCAGTACAATTATATCAGCTTCCATTTGGTGTTTATATGGCTCATATTTTGCTTTCAACCTTTCATAGCCTTAATATTTTAGATGACTTTTTGTAGACAACATATTTTGGGGCTTTTTATTTTTTCAGTGTGAAAAACTTAGTTTTTATGTTTGTGTATTTATTCCATTTACATTAAATGTAATTTTGATATAATTGTGTTTAAATTGACCATGTTTTGAGTTGGTTTCTATATGTCCTGCTTGTTCAGTTTTGGTTTTTTCCCTTTCTCCTTACCTTTTTTGGAATTGATTTGACTGAGTATTGTTTATTATTTCATTTTTCATCCACTTAGTTTGGTACTTATATACTTTTTTGGTTCTCTCATTCATTGCACTAGAGATTATAATTTTAATTCTTCCTAATTTAGTAAATTCGTATTTTTACTATTTTATACTTCCTAAATAATACAGGGAAACTAGAATGACTCCATTTACTCACATCTTACTCATATACTACTTTTTTTATACATTACTTGCTCTTTTTTGGGCTTCTTAAAATAGAATATCTTAAACCATTGGTTTTAAGCTTTTCTTGTTTTATATCAGCATATAAAGCTATAAATTCTCTCTACAAGCTGCTTTAGCTCTGTCCCACAAATTTTGTTATGTTGAATTTTTATCATTTGATTCAAGATATTTTATTTTTCTTGTGATTTCATCCTTGATTTGTGGGTTATATAGAAATGTGCCAGTTAATTTCTGACTGTTGATTTTCAAACTAACTTTTATTATTAGCATTACTGTCATAATTATTATTACTGATTTTTAATCACATTTCATTGTTGTCAGAGAACATATTTATAATTTCAGTTCTTTTAAACTTATCAAGACTTGTTTTATGGCTCAATATATGGCCTTTCTTGGTAAGTGTTTTATGCATACTTGAAAAGAATGTGTGTTCTGCTATTGTTGGATGTAGTGTTTATTGATATCAGTTAAGTGGTAGTGGTTGACAGTGTTGTTCAAGATTTCTGTATCATTTTTTTCTATATAATTATGCTTGATTTCCTAAGAGATGAGTGTTGAAGTTATCAACTATAATTATGAATGTTTATATCCTCTTTCAGTTCTGTCATTTTTTGCTTCATATACTTTGAGCCTTTGTTATTAGTTGCGTATACATTTAGGATTATTATATTTTCTTGATGATTTAGCTTTTATGTATCATCATGAAATATTCTCCCCACCTCTAATAATTCCTTGTCCTGAAGTCTCTTGTCTGCTATTACTTATCTATACCACCTTTTTTATGATTAGTGTTTTCATGATACAACTTTTTCCATCCTTGTGCTTTTCATCTGTGGTTTTAAATATGGTGTTTCTTATGGACAGCTTATAATTGGATCTTGCTCCACCCCCTTCCCTCAGTGTGCCTTTTCTACAATTTCCTTTTTTTTTTTTTCATCAGTGTGTTCAGACCATTTATACTTTATGAAATTACTATTGTTGTTATGAAATTATTGATGTGGTTTTGTTTTGGCACTCAGCTTTTTATTTTCCTGAAAATTTTATTTTGCCTTTATGTTCGAAGCATGTTTCTGCTGGAGAAAAACTTGTATGTTTTAGGGTTTTACCTGAGCACTTTAAAGGTGACATTTTATTTTCACCTGATCTGCATTGTTATTGATAAGAAGTCAGTTTCATTCTTATTATTTTTCTGTGTGTGATGTAGTTTCTCTGACTGCTTTTAAGGTGCTTTCTTTATTACTTATTTTTGATGTGCCTTGTGGTTTTTGCTTTTCTTGCTCGGGGTTCATTGAATTTCTTGGTTTGGTATTTTCCATGAAATTCAGAAAGTTTTTGGCAATTATTTCTTCAAATTTTTTTCTTTCCTCTCCTGATTTTCTGGAACTATGTTTGTACATATAGTCCATATACCAAGATACTGTTCCACAGGCCACTGTGTCTCTCTTGTTTGTTTTTAGACATTAAGACATTTTTATTCCTGTGTACTTTATTGTGGATAGTTTGTTATGTTTTCATTTTCTTTTTTCCATTAAGCCCATCTAGTCATATTTTTTATTTCAGATGTTTTTCAGAAATTCCATTTGATTCTCTCTTATATTATTCTGTGCTTCTCTTATGTTCATTTATTTCTTTTACAAAGCCTGCTGTCATTTTAGTAGCTGTCCTTTTCAGGATACCTGTCCTTTTTTCTCTCTTTGCGTTTAAGTTTTTCTCTTTGTCATTGCTTTTCAGGAATTTTATTATGAAGTTCCTTCTACACATTTCTGTTTTCTTTCTTGGAGTTTGGCGTGCTTCTTAAATCTATAGGTTGACATCTTTTACTTATCTTAGAAATTTTCTGTTCTACCTCTTCAAAAAATTTTTCTGCCCTTTCTCTCCTTCCTCAGGAACTCCAATTATTTTTATGTTAGAACTTTTCACTATATGCTCTTTGTCTTGCATATTCTTTTTCCTGTTCTTTTGTCTCTATGCTTCCAACTTGATGTTTTTTCTGCTCTCTTTCAATTCACTAATTCTTGAATCAAATCTAATCAGTTGTTAAATCTATCCATTGAGTTCTTATTTTCTGTTCTAGAATTTCTGTTTAGTTCTTATAGTTTTCATTTATTTGCCCAAAACTTCATTATCATTTATTTCTTTATTATCCATGATCATTTTAAATTTCATGTCTGATGTCTTTATTATTTGAATTCTTTATGGCCCTTTTGTCTTGATTATTGAAAATTGCGTTTTTCTTTATATATCTTTTTTTATTGTTACCAAACAATTTTTATCATGAGTTTTTCTTTGCAGTGGATCCTTTTGGTGGTAGACCTTTTCTCAGACTAGTGACTTTAAATGTAAAAGAACCTTAATTCTAAAAAATAAAGTACGATTATTTTGACATATACATAACCAGGTTTAGAAATAAAAAATGAACAAATGCCCATGTGCTTCCTTATGAGTACAAAAGTTACAAAAGATAATGCAGTTAAATGGCATAGACAGATGCACTGAAGTTCAGTTTGTATAGACATATCAGTATAAAAGCATTTGTTTCTTAGCCTGGAAAAGAACATTAAACAGTGGATTTTTACTTGTCTCCTTTCTCATATGGATCAAAAAACATTTTGTAGATAAGGAATACTTGAAGATAACTTAAATATCTGAATTACCAATTTGGGAATACCTAACTTCACCACCACTTGCTGTTTGATTTTTTTTTTTCTAGTTGTAGATTTACTCAGTAGGTATCCAGCTATATCTCAATAGTGTCTGTAAATAAGAATACTGTGATTATGTGCAGTTTACTAAACAGGTTTAATGATTATCATAATTTTCAAGTACTGATGAGCATAAACTATTTGTAGATATTTTTTCATAGCTGTAAGTGATCTGAAAATATCTATGATTCACATTGTTGAAGATGTCACAACTACTGCTAATATAACTGTGGTTTGTTGTCTAACATTAACATTCATAGTTGAAGAAAATGCTAAGGAAATGCTAAATTTTAGTTAACAGTTAATGAACATAAAGATGTCCTTTTCCCCTCCATTGATATATTCCCTAATTTGTTTAACGACCTTTTAGGGATCTGTGGACCCCAGGCTAATAACCCCTGGTCCAAATGGTACCTTGTTATATAAGTACCTTAACTATAAAAAATCAAGCATTTATGTCAAAGAATTAAATGCATAGACTATGATATATACATGAACTAAAGTAAAAATATTATAGTTCTATAGTATGTGTAACCATTTTTAAAGTAATGGAATAGTTGTTTCAAATTGTCAAAATTAAATATAATTATTTCTCATTATAGTTTTGGAAAGACATTGTTGATGATAATGAAGTACGTGACCTCATTTCTGACAGAAACAAGTCTCATGGTAAGTCAGTGAGGAAAAGTTTTAAATAACTTTGAACTATCAATAGTAATAAATGAAATATTAATAAGTAAAATATGTATTTTCTATTATAGAAAGTACATCAGGAGAATGGATCTGGGAACCTTTATTTCATCCACCTCGAAAGCTGGGCATTAATGATATTGAAGGACAACGGGTACTTCAGATTGCAGTGATTTTGCGAAATCTTTCTTTTGAGGAGGGCAATGTTAAGCTCTTGGCAGCTAATCGTACCTGTCTTCGTTTCCTATTACTTTCTGCACATAGTCATTTTATTTCTCTAAGGCAATTAGGCCTTGACACATTAGGAAATATTGCAGCTGAGGTAAGCATGTGACAGTAACCTAAAACAGTTTTTATAGTTAGTGACAATATTTACTTTAAAATTTTAGGATATGGCATTATTATATTTGCCATATTTACAGAATATTCAATGCTTACATGCAATTTTTGCCTAAAGTGATTATAGAATTGTCACATACTTTTGTGGAAGAAAATAAATATTTGAAATGATGCTTCAAATTTAGTAATGGCTATGCTCACAGTAATTACATGCTTAAAAGTTATACAACATTATTCTGTTCGTTTTTATTAAATGTGAAATATACAGCACTGGAAGAAGCCTATCTCAGTAATAGTGTCCTTTCTTTTTCTAGCTTTTATTGGACCCTGTTGATTTCAAAACTACTCATCTGATGTTTCATACTGTTACAAAATGCCTAATGTCAAGGGATAGATTTTTGAAGATGAGGGGTAAGTGCTCATTTAAGTTTCTCCCTGTCTAAAGTGTACAAACTTTTTATCATCTGTTAAAAAATAAATACATGTTTTTGTGTGTATGTTTTTTAGGCATGGAAATTTTGGGAAATCTTTGCAAAGCAGAAGATAATGGTGTTTTGATTTGTGAATATGTTGATCAGGACTCATACAGAGAGATCATTTGTCATCTCACTTTACCTGATGTGCTGCTTGTAATCTCAACACTTGAGGTGCTATATATGCTCACAGAAATGGGAGATGTAGCTTGCACAAAAATTGCAAAAGTAGAAAAGAGCATAGGTAAGACTAAAAACTAAAGAAACATTTAAGTTATTTTCTTTATTAAGAAAAAAATACTTAATGTGGTGCAATACAAAAATCACAATTGATATTTGGAGCTTACTATTTATTTTGAGGAGTCATCACCCTTTCACAAACATTTGTTTGTATTATTCTTTCTGCCTGTTTTAGATGACCAAGAAACTTCTATCATATAGAGTCCACGATGTATGTGACTGTTAGTAATCTCTGTTCCTTCTCTTTATTACTATATATGAAATTTGAAATCAACAAAACTGCTATACCTGACTTTCTGGAGAGCACGTCTTTCTGTTTCAGATGGTCCACTACTACTGCTAAGCCACTAAAACTGAGTAAAACAAGCTTTCTTTTTGTTCCTAGAAGTTGCCAGTAGTGGTACTATGTTAACATTTTATTCAGTGATTCAAGTGATTTCTTTCAAATAAACACTAAAATCAGTGTCAATAAAGGTTTGGACTAAATAGAGTTATTATTGAGAAATTAAGATGTCGGTTTCCATATTAGTAGTTCCTGAATCTAGCTATACATCAGAATCATTTGGAAAGCTTTTTAAAAAGAAAAATACCTAACCCCTACTCCAGAGCTACTAAATCAGTCTTCAGAGATTGAACCTAAAAATCTTTTTTAAAGATCCACAGATAATCCTGATGTACAGTGATTCGTAGACTGCCATTTGAGAACTAGTATTCTGTACAGCATATGTTTTAAGTGATGTGATTGTTGTATAATATTATTGATTGATAACTTTGGTTTTAATTTATTTTAGACATGTTAGTGTGCCTGGTGTCTATGGACATTCAGATGTTTGGACCTGATGCACTAGCTGCAGTAAAACTCGTTGAACATCCAAGTTCTAGTCATCAAGTTTTATCTGAAATTAGAACACAAGCTGTAGAGCAAGTTCAAACGCAGATCCATGTAGCATCTGCTCCAGGTTAGTGTTTTTACATATTCTTTTTCAGTATGGTTAGTGGTATGTAAGATTTAATACTAAGGATAAATTTAAATATGTATTACAGGGAACTGATATTTTATAGTAGAGTAGGCTAAAGGAAAACTTGAGTATGTTACTTTAATTTCTTAGATATTATACATTCCAGGAGCAGCAGGATCAAGGAGAGCACAGAGGAATTAAACTATAATAGAGAAATGAAGTTGAGCAGGATTTAAAGAAGTGTGAGGGATTAGATTCACAACTAGGAGAGCGATAAGAAGTGCCCCAAATGGGTTTCTTATTTGTGATTTTGGTCATTGGAAATTGATGTACCAGGAATAGGTTAATCATATGTTACGTTATAATTTCCTCAGGTGGTCATCAGAATACATAAGTATAATACCCCCTAATACTCCTGAATGTTGGACCAAACACACAGAATCAGAGCCTAGGATCAGTCACATGTACATACATACATAAACACATATACAAGTATGTATATCTGCACTTTGCACCCTTCTTAGAGTCCTTTGGATCAATTCTGTTTAACTCAAATATCTTTAATCAGAACTCAGGTCTGTCTAATAACCAGCACTCTCTTCAGTCCTTGGACTTCTGTCTCCTCACTGAGTCATTATTTTGATATTTTAGCAATCTCAGTCTTTTGTAGAGTGCTCTCTCTGCCTTCATTTGTCCTAACAAAAACAATCCATCTTTTACCTCACCTGTTCCCCCACCTCTCACTGTTCCCAAGACACTTCTCTTTCCTTGTACTTTTTTTTTTTTTAATGGAGGATGCTTGTTTTTTCAGTTGATCTTACCTCTCACTTTGCAGGTAACATGGAAGCTGTGTGGCATGAATTTCTTCAACTTGTTAATCCTTTACTTACAAACTTATTGTCATCTGAATTTCATTCTCCTTCAACTTACCCTTGTCTAAGGAAGAGACGTTAACTTCTTCTGAATCAGTGCTCTGAATATCAGTCTTTCTCATTTTCTCATTCCTATGTCTTAAATATCTCTTTGTTTACCTGCTTCTTCTTTTCAACCTAGAAATACATTCAGATCTTTCTCAACCTCCCACACTACCCTTAAAACAAAAATCTCATTATCCTTAATCTTTAACTACCACATCTATTTAATCACCAAATCTTGTTTGAGTCTTCCTAAATAATCTGGCCTCTTCAATTGCCAGTGCTTATGACGCAGTTCAAACTCTCTTTGTATCTCTCCAGCTATCTTGTTCTTTCATTTAATCATGGTTCCAATCTCTCTTCTACTCTAATTCATAGAATCAAAATTTTATACTCTTAATGGAAAGTTTGTAATGTATCACATGTTTCATTGATTTCCATTATGTTCTTCTCAAGTATATGGTATTGTTATGTCATGTATGCATTTAACTTACTTGAATTCAATTAACAGAGCTGGACAAATAATCAAAGGCATGAAAAAATAGTTTTGACTACTGATCTACCCAATGAGCTTTCGCCCACAGGCAACAGATGTTAAACAGCCAGTGCATATTGGGGAATCAGTGGTCAGAATATTAATAGTTTCTCAACCTTGAAACAGAAATAAAACAGTTCATATTACCAGTTAATTAAGTGAGTGGTAGAGTATGTTCTTATCCTCAGAGAAGAAACTGAAAATTAAATTAATTGAGGGCCATAGAGAAACAGTATCCAACAAGAGGAATTAAGAAATTATTAGTGATACACTGAATTATAATGGGCCATTTGAAGAATATTCAAGAATATTTTTGATGAAAGCTACTGTGTTTTGCCTTGTCACTGACCAGTGACCTTAACAGATGAACTCACTGCCAACGTAAGATTTAGTCCTCATTTGACAAATGGACAAAATTAAATATTGAGAGTTTGTGGCTTGCTCAAAAATGTAGTACTCATTGATAGAAATGGGAATAGGTCTCTAAGGACCTAAAAAAAAAAAAGGTTCATTTTTGATCTGATGAGCACTTTATTACTTGCTCATTATAAATGATAGCTTTTTGATTATTTGATTATGTTACCATTTATACTTTGGCTTTTCCCCATAATTTGTTTAATACTGTTTTCTTAGGGAATGGTCATCTTCAAATTTTTTGCTTGCTTCGTCTCATCACTGTGAAAACTTATGTGATCTTTCACCCATTTTTTGACTTAACATCTAAATTTGTTCATAATAATTTAAATAATTGCAAATATGTTTTTTGTGTGTATTAAATTGACATTTTAAAAGTGAAACACTTTCTATATCCGGTGGAATCTTGATACTTAACCATCATCCATTTAAAAAAATACATAAACTCTTAATATCAGAAATTTTGTAATACCCCTTTCTCCTTAAATTCATATCCATCACCCTATCAATACTTCTCAACTATAAATGTAGACATTTTAATTTAATTTTTTAAAATTTTCTGTTACTTTATAAAACTTTAAAATTATATTTTATCACTACCAGTTTTAGTAATATATAGTACAACAAACAAAAGTAAATACATTACAGATTTTTATAAGTAATTATTAAATAAAAAGCACAATTGGTAGTACATCTCTTAATGAGGTGAACAAGATTTTTTTCCCTAGTTCTCTGGAAAGTATGAGTCCATTGTGTCTCTGAATGAATATTGTTTATTGCTAGAATGAAAATGAGTTCAGTATCAACTGTATCTCTGTTTTTCCTTTTTATAGATGTAAGTTGGAAACCTAGGTCATGCCAATAAATAGCTGAAGATAGAACTAACAATTCTTTGAAATTCTTCAGAATTATCGAAAAATTATTAAAATTAAGATCTGACAACTTTAATTCTCCAATGATTTTGTTGAGATCAAAGAATTAACAATACTTGACTCACAAAAGTACATATTTGTTGCTTAGTATTAGAGACATTGTTTATTGAAAATATATCAAAAAGATATTGACAAGATATGACTATAAATTATACTTGTTATTTTTACTTAGATGCATCTTGTTTAATCTAATATATTCAAGAAGCACAGTGGTTCTCAGCTTCTGTGTGCATCAGAATCACCCGGTGGGCTTTAGCACTGATATCTATCTAGGCTCCAATACCCTGAGTTTTTTATTCAGAATGAGAATTTTCATTTCTAACAAGTCCTATGAGATGCTGATGCTGCAGGTCAGTAGACTAGACTTTGAGAACCACTAGTATAGGAAAATTGAAATATTGTTCATTTCAAGACCAATACAGTGTTTTTTGATAAAGTACTTTTATCATGTGCTTTGAATACATTTTTGTCAAAACCTTGATTTGGCACTGCAGATTGACCTCATTTGATAATGGAATATGTCTGGCATATAACCTACCTGATAAAGGTAGTCTTTATTATCAAAAGTATCTTGCTAAATCAGCCTTACTTTCTATTACTCAGAAAAAATATTTCTCAATCCAAGAAATTATGTCTTCCCCCATTTCTTACTTCAGAATTCTATGACAGTTGAAAGTTGCCATGACATTGTCATCTGAATGAACTAAGATGCCACCACTTTTAGTATTTTTTAAAAATAGTCCCAATCTTTTACTTACACAAGATTCTGCTTCAGAAGTAATGCAATCTTTGTAGGTTGAGGGTTGGATAAGGGAAGGACATTAGCAAAAATTGTCATCACTCTATACTATATCTAAATTCAGAACACACCAAAGAGCCAAAATACCCAATTTCTAATGCCCTATGTTGCCCCTGACTATAATATATAAAATGCTGGTATGGACAGGAAGCCCTACTCTAAGACCTTGGTAAAGGAGGCTTTGGAGACACTAATGTTTCTAATTCTCCCGTTGATGTTCCAGAGGTTTTTAAATAGTAGTAGTACTACTACTAGTAGTAATAGCAACTAACATTTATACAGTGCTTTACTATATGCCAGGCATTGTTTTAAGTGGCTCACGCATAAACTCCTCTAATCCTCATGAGCTATGATGTTAATGTACTATTACTTTTCCCCATTCTATAGACAGAGAGGTTAAGTAACTTGCCCGTAGTTACACAGCTAGTGCTGAAACTCTAGAGCCAGCCTTTCTGGCTCCAGAGTCATACATTTAACCATAATCCTGCAATGCTATTAAGGATGAGTGAAAGTTAAGACTTTCTGTTCCAAACTGGGATAAGAACAATTATGAAACAGAAGGTGATGTGCTCAGGCAAAGCAGTTTTAGGAAAGACTATATATAAAAGTTGAGTATCTGGAAACTGATTCCTTGTAAAGGTGAGGTGCCTTTGTGTCCTTTGGAAGGTCTTTGGGTATCCTGAAGAAAATACTTCTCAATTTGTAGCCACCTTTATACTAATTATATGTTTCTGGTTTATATTCTTAATTTAATTGTGACTGCATCATTCTTCTTAATGTTTGTAAAGTTGCTCATAATCTCATCATAATTTTTAATGTTTCGTGCAATTGACTGTTAATTGATTCAGGAGATTTCAGCCTGAGTAGGGTATACTCCTGTAGTACAATTGATAAAGAAAAGGGAGATTTCTACATAGGTTCAGGTCCTGCAAAGATATTTTATGTAATGGTGTTATCAAGTTAGGAGGAGGAGAAAAAAAGATAAGCTGGGGTTGCACCAGGAAAATAATTTTGGTTTTAATTATGTTCTGTTAAGAAGCAACATATCACAGTATGGCCTCTGAAACGTGACAGGCCTGGATTCAAATCCAGCACTCCTGAATGAAGGCTTTCCAGCTGCACCAGCTCTGCTGTCTGCATCATGTGTTCCTTTGTGAACGTAATCTCTGAGCTTTAATTTTTTCATCTGCAAAAGGAGGATAATTAAATTTAGACCTATATATAAGATTAAAACAAATAAAGTAAATGGCTTAATGCAGAGTAAATGTTCATGAAGTGACTGCTATTAGCTGTTATCCCAATGAAAGCCTGGGACCTCATTGAACAAAAGATTAGAATTGCGTCAGCTCATTCACAGATTTGTGCTGTGGACCTCCACTAGTTCCAATAATTTAGAAATGCATTTGTTCTGTGTGAGGATTCTGAGGTTTTGTTAAAAATATCACCTGAAAAAAAGTGGGTACATATATAAGTTTAAAAACTATAAAAGCATGCTGATTCAATGGTGAAATAGTATAATTTTAAATTTTAACTATAAATATGTAAGATTCTTATAATTTATCATAAGTTTATATTATCTTATATTTTTCATGTTTTCATTAATTCCTTTGTATATAGCTTTTTGTTCATCTTATCCCAGAAATTTTGTGTATTCTACTTATAGAGTTAACATTTATCTTTCAAATTCAGAAGTGGAGTTATTTGAGATACAATCTACTTCTGTAACTAAAGTGAGAGGCGCTTATTTACTGGTATATTGAGCTGTGTGACCTTGGGCTAGTTGTTTTAATCACTCTGTGTCTCAGTTTCCATATCTATACCCATATTACCAAAGAATTAAGAAAGATAATGTATGTTAAGTATTTAACCCAGTGTCTGATCCGTGGGAAAAATAGAGTTTATATTAGCTATATAATCCATGTATTATTATTTTAATGATTATGAGGTTAAAAAAAATAGTTCATATGAAGCATCTAAGATAGTGCCTGGTATAATATGTGTTCCATTATAAATTTCTTTCTCAAATTTGTATATTTTCATTATGTTTATACACCTTTTTAAAAGGTATTCATTGTGAATAATAATTGGTTCAGTATCCATGAACTAAATATGGCATCTATATAGTGACTACATTTTTTTAAATGATGTAGCTAATATATTTTTTTCTTTAGCTTCCAGAGCAGTTGTAGCACAGCATGTTGCTCCACCTCCAGGAATAGTGGAAATAGATAGTGAGAAGTTTGCTTGTCAGTGGTAAGTGGTTTATTTCTATTAAGGCTTTATCCTTGGGAAGAATAAAGCAAAAGAGAAAAGGAAAATGTATTACAACGGTCATCCAGAATGTTTTATTCTGTTTTTCTATTTAGTTAGAATAGAATATCATTTATACAAAGAAATGACAATATAAAACCACTTCACCTGTATTGTAGAATAATTTGAAGGAAAAATATCAGAATCTTCAGAATTAAAATAGTCTTTGATTACAGTGCATAATTTCTTTTCAGGGTAAAATTTGTGTTAAAAAATTATCTTTGACTTTGTAGAAAATGAGGTTTGTCAGATTATAGAATTTTTTTTCTTAATGTTTTATTAAAACTAAATTGGACTGATTTTAAGAAAATGAAACCAGGTTTTATTGTTAAATGTTCCTTCTTTTTCATCAAAAGCAAAACTTCTTATTCATTGCTAGTTATTTTTTCCTGTTTGTGAGTAGTGAGGGGAAACTAATCAAATGATAAACTAGGCAGTTTGTCTATATTGAAATAAGCAACTTGGAAATAATATTTTCTTGAGAAGACTGAATAGTTATATCTTAGCCACTTTCTGAAAAAAATAAATGTAGGTTTGGTTCGATTTCATTTTGTCTTGGTTAGTTGCCTCTATGTTATTTATGAATTTCAACTTAAATTCTTTAGAAGATTAACAGATTGAAATATAAGAAGATCGCTTTCTAGTGATGTATTACTTTTTAAAACTTTCTTTTCTTGATCCCTTTTCTCCTATTCTCTTAATATTATTTGTCTCCCATTCCATGCTTCTGTCACTCTGTGTTCCATATTTTTGGTGCTTTCATATCTTTGTTCCTATGACAATTTTTTCTAGACTGTTTCACTTTGCTTAAATCAGATTTATAGTTTTAAATTTCGCTAATTATTTGCTTTTTCCTTACGTTCTATATTGTTACACCTTGACCCTTTATACTTCATGAATCTCTTCCGATAATATTTGGAAATGTTTATCTTCAACATTGAACCAAAAAAAGTTTTTTGTATCAAAAGAAAGTTTGAAAACTCAGTACTCAAAGGAATTATAAAAGTTGGAAAATGTATGTACCACATCCACTGTAAAATGTGTGTGTGCTAGGAATAGATTTGGTCTTATAAATTGCAGTTGCTCACTTAGGCCAGTTCTAGGGGGAGAGGAGGAGAGACTCGTTTTACAATTAGTTATCATAATTATTATTTCATGCAGTTTATAAAGAAACAACTGTAAGTTGGCTTGTTATGTATATAGTGAGTCCCAGAAAGTCCTATAAGGATAACTAGGCTTCCGATCCTAACTTATAGATAAAAGTCACTTTATGAAAATGACAAACTAAAGTTTGAATTAGTTTGTACAGGATTAAGAATAGAAGTCTGAAATAGGGAATGGGTGTGTGCAGCATGGTAAGTATCATTGTTTTAGGGAGTAGTTGAAAGCTTAAGTTCTTTTCTGAAGGAATTTGATCCAAGAGCCAACAAAATTTAACTTTAGTTCAGTTTTCTTCCATTTTCCACATGTCCAATAGCTCATCATTGGGAACTTCTGTTATATTTTGATTATTACAAGACAGGAACCTGAGTAGATATTTACTGAATAAAACTATTTGTTGTAGAATATTTGTTTCCAGCAGACCAACGCTGCTCTCACTGGGATGTTAACATAATTTTTATTTTGTTGTTAATGATTTTTTACACTAAAATAAGTATGATTGAGTAGTTAATCTCTTTACTTGATTTTGTCTGTCTAAAACTTAGCATGTATTTTTGCTAATAACATATTGAAACAGTGAAATTTGGTTAATAGGCATAATTATTAGTCTTAAAACACTGCCTTCAAATGGGTTTAGCATACTTAAATATAGACTTTCCTATAGTATATTGCATAATGCCATTTATTTTTCTCTTTTAGGCTAAATGCTCATTTCGAAGTAAATCCAGATTGTTCTGTCTCTCGAGCAGAAATGTATTCCGAGTACCTCTCAACTTGCAGTAAATTAGCTCGTGGTGGAATCCTAACATCAACTGGATTTTATAAATGTCTTAGGTAGGATACATAGTTCTTAACTTTAAATAAAATTAATTTACATCACTGACAACACCTCTTGTTCTTGAGAAAATACTATTTAGTTTCAGACATCCCCATTACTTGAAATTTTATATGGTTAGGTTGCAGTATAGTAGAAGTTTAAATACAAGGGAATTTTGGACATCACATCTGGTGTTTGTGTTTGAACATTTTGAGGTTTATCAAAGAAAGAGAAGGAAGAAATTAGTTTCCTTTTTCTTTCCTACCTACTTTTGTATGTTAAAGACATGACTTTTGCCCTTTTTAATCTTGAATAGTCTATAACTAACACTTTCTTCAAATATCCAGGGTCTTTGACATTTTTCAAAGCTCATAAAGTAGGCATTGCCTAGGTGAAGCTTTTTTGTTAATTATATATGCAGTAGAATTGTTTAAAACCCAACCATGTTGATAATGACTTTAAAAATTAGAGAATTGATCTTTTGTATTTCTTTCTTTGCTTCCCACCCTTGTAGAATATAATTATATGAATCATACTGGTTCATACATAAGTAGCAGTAAATATACTGCTGCTGTTCATGTAAACGTTGTTAGAAGTTAGTGTTTTTCCTAGTGTGCTCGTTATCCAAACTGAGTATGTGTGTACTTTACAGAACGGTCTTTCCAAATCATACAGTGAAGAGAGTGGAGGATTCCAGTAACAACGGGCAGGCGCATATTCATGTAGTAGGAGTAAAACGGAGGGCTATACCACTTCCTATTCAGATGTACTATCAGCAGCAACCAGTTTCTACTCCAGTCGTTCGTGTTGATTCTGTTCCTGATGTGTCTCCAAGTCCTTCTCCTGCAGGTATTAACTTTTATTGTTTTAAATATTACTAAGTTAATAATGTGTATAATATACATTTAAAGTAAATGTATATTATATACATTTAAAATGTATAACTTTTCCTTGTTTTTCCAGTAGACTTTTCTTGCTTGTTCTGTTATTTAATCATGATGCAAAGTTGTTAGATATTAATTTCTTAAAATGATTTTCTCTTGTATTAAGTAAAATAGTCCCTACATTCAGCTTTTCAGTCATTTTATTATGAATTTTGACTTTTCCCTTATATTTTCAGGAATGCCTCATGGACCACAAACTGTAGGAAGCCATTTTCAGAGGACTCCTGTCACCAACCAATCTTCAAATTTGACTGCAACACAAATGTCTTTTCCAGTACAAGGTGTTCATACTGTGGCACAGACTGTTTCAAGAATTCCACCAAATCCTTCAGTTCATACCCACCAGCAGCAAAATGCGCCGGTGACTGTCATTCAAAATAAAGCTCCGATTCCTTGTGAAGTCGTTAAGGCTACAGTAATCCAGAATTCTATACCCCAGACAGCGGTTCCTGTTAGTATTGCTGTGGGAGGAGGAGCTGCACAGAGTTCTGTGGTTCAAAATCATAGTACAGGGCCACAACCTGTTACAGTTGTCAATTCCCAGACATTGCTTCACCACCCATCTGTAATTCCACAACAGTCTCCATTACACACAGTGGTACCGGGACAGATACCTTCTGGCACTCCTGTTACAGTAATTCAACAAGCTGTTCCACAGAGTCATATATTTGGCAGAGTACAGAGCATACCAGCATGTACTTCTACAGTTTCACAGGGTCAACAGTTAATCACCACATCGCCCCAGCCTGTGCAAACTTCATCTCAACAAACATCAGCTGGTAGCCAGCCACAAGACACTGTTATCATAGCACCCCCACAGTATGTAACAACTTCTGCATCCAATATTGTCTCAGCAACTTCAGTACAGAATTTTCAGGTAGCTACAGGACAAATGGTTACCATTGCTGGTGTCCCAAGTCCACAACCCTCAAGAGTAGGGTTTCAAAACATTGCACCAAAACCTCTCCCTTCTCAGCAAGTGTCATCAACGGTGGTACAACAGCCTATTCAACAACCACAGCAGCCAACCCAACAAAGTGTAGTGATTGTAAGCCAGCCAGCTCAACAAGGTCAAACTTATGCACCAGCCATTCACCAAATTGTTCTTGCTAATCCAGCAGCTCTTCCAGCTGGTCAGACAGTTCAGCTAACTGGACAACCAAACATAACTCCATCTTCCTCACCATCACCTGTCCCAGCTTCTAATAACCAAGTCCCTACTGCCATGTCATCTTCCACCCCTCAATCACAGGGACCACCTCCTACTGTCAGTCAAATGCTATCTGTGAAAAGGCAGCAACAGCAGCAGCATTCACCAGCACCCCCACCACAACAGGTACAAGTACAAGTTCAGCAGCCACAACAAGTACAGATGCAAGTTCAACCACAGCAAACAAATACTGGAGTTGGTCAGCCTGCTTCTAGTGAGTCGAGTCTGATAAAACAGTTGCTGCTTCCAAAGCGTGGTCCTTCAACTCCAGGGGGTAAGCTGATTCTCCCAGCTCCACAGATTCCTCCCCCTAATAATGCAAGAGCTCCTAGCCCTCAGGTGGTGTACCAGGTGGCAAACAACCAAGCAGCAGGCTTTGGAGTGCAGGGGCAAACTCCAGCACAGCAGTTACTGGTTGGGCAGCAAAACGTTCAGTTGGTCCAAAGTGCAATGCCACCCACAGGGGGAGTGCAAACCGTGCCCATCTCGAACTTACAGATACTGCCAGGCCCACTGATCTCAAATAGCCCAGCAACCATTTTCCAAGGGACTTCTGGCAACCAGGTAACCATAACAGTTGTGCCAAATACAAGTTTTGCAACTGCAACTGTGAGTCAGGGAAATGCAACTCAGCTCATTGCTCCAGCAGGAATTACCATGAGCGGGACCCAGGCAGGAGTTGGGCTTCAGGTGCAAACGCTTCCAGCCACTCAAGCATCTCCAGCTGGACAATCATCTTGTACTACTGCTACTCCCCCATTCAAAGGTGATAAAATAATTTGCCAAAAGGAGGAGGAAGCAAAAGAAGCAACAGGTTTACATGTTCATGAACGTAAAATTGAAGTCATGGAGAACCCGTCCTGCCGACGAGGTACCACGAACACCAGCAATGGGGATACAAAGGAAAATGAAATGCAGGTGGGAAGTCTTTTAAACGGGAGAAAGTACAGTGACTCAAGTCTACCTCCTTCAAACTCAGGGAAAATTCAAAGTGAGGCTAACCAGTGCTCACTAATCAGTAATGGGCCATCGTTAGAATTAAGTGAGAATGGAGCATCTGGAAAACAGAACTCGGAACAAATGGACGTGCAGGATATCAAAAGTGATTTGAGAAAACCTCTAGTTAATGGAATCTGTGATTTTGATAAAGGAGATGGTTCTCATTTAAGCAAAAACATTCCAAATCACAAAACTTCCAATCATGTAGGAAATGGTGAGATATCTCCAGTGGAACCACAGGGGACTTTAGATGCCACTCAGCAAGATACTGCCAAAGGTGATCAACTAGAAAGAATTTCTAATGGACCTATATTAACTTTGGGTGGTTCACCATCTGCGAGCAGTATACAGGAGGCTTCAAATGTGGCAACCCAGCAATTTAGTGGTACTGATTTGCCTAATGGACCTCTAGCTTCAAGTTTGAATTCAGATGTGCCTCAGCAACGCCCAAGTGTAGTTGTCTCACCACATTCTACAACCTCTGTTATACAGGGGCATCAAATCATAGCAGTTCCCCACTCAGGATCAAGAGTGTCCCATTCTCCTGCCCTATCATCTGACGTTCGGTCTACAAATGGCACAGCAGAATGCAAAACTGTAAAGAGGCCAGCAGAGGATAATGACAGGGAAACAGCCACAGGAATTCCAAATAAAGTAGGCGTTAGAATTGTTACAATCAGTGACCCCAACAATGCTGGCTGCAGTGCAACAATGGTTGCCGTGCCAGCGGGAGCAGATCCAAGCACTGTAGCTAAAGTAGCAATAGAGAGTGCTGTTCAGCAAAAGCAGCAGCATCAACCGTCATACATACAGAATGTGGTCCCCCAGGTAAGTCGTCCTATCGCATTGCACTTAAAGAAGTTCTGATTTGGAAATACGGTTTTAGGGGGAAATGTACTGTTTATCTATGTCTCACCTTGAGGTTAATCGTGCCAGCCTACCAATGTACTCAAGCTTTTGTGCTCTTTTATTTTTCTGTTTTTTGTAATGTTAAACAGTTTTCAATTGTTAACTTTAGCACATGGTTTAAAACCCTATTTTGTTATAGAACTAAATTAGTGACTTTGTAGACCCAAAATAGAGAAGCACTTGTAATCTAAAATTTTTTGGAGAATTCTTGAAATGTAACTTAGTCTCATTTGGAGTTTGCGGTGAGGGGGATGTTACTAAGAGCTCTCCAAAAGGGAATTTCTGTATTTAATTTTGACATGAGGGGTTTTCATAGTACTTTTGTAAAAACGATGAATCCCGTAAGAATTTTATGAAGTGTGTTCTTGTTATATTTATGTATTGAATTAGTAGCCTTTATTCTTTAAAAAGTACAATTTTCATTTCAATTTGTTTCAGCTATTCTGATATTATTATTAATTTTGTGTTTCTTACTCCTTTGCTCTACTGTCATGTTTCTACTATTCCCTTTTTAGTACTTACTAGTCCTTCTGCATGACTTTGTAAATAAATGTGTTTTCTATGATCAGTGCTACTGTATTGAAGGTCCAGTCAGTCTGTAGAGATTTTAAGGACAGCCGTGTATGTTATTTCCACTGAAACTAGGGGTTCACTTAACAATTGTTTCTCACCTATTTCCTGGATTACTTCTCCTTCACTCTATCTTTCTTAATTACTACATGGCCAGAACCTTCTGTGACAATTGCCAACTCTGCTAGCACTCTCCTGGCTTGGGTTTCTTCTCTGTCCTTTTGGTAATGATAGCAGATCTATAGCCACTGTTGGTATTTGTTCCAAATCTAGGTGTGGGAAAAGAGGAGGCAGCTAATGGAAGATGACAGAACAAAGACACCCCTTGCTTCAGAACAGTTCGTGCACTAATATACATATTTGTTCATGTGAATGGATAAAACCGAACAGTGCTGCTTGGGGGGCATAATGAGATTGTAATTCATATGTTAGTATTGCTTAGATATATTTCATGGTACCTAAATTGGTTGAATATTTTTTAGTGAATGTTATGTACATGATAATAATTAATATTCAGTTTGGGTGGAAAATACTAAATCATTTTTACTCACACTTTTACAAGGTGAGTTTTTCATTTAAACAAAAAATGTTGAAGAGTACAATGTATAGCATATAGTTAACATTCAGTTAGTTGGGTTTTTATTTTTTTTCTTATATTTAATAATTTCCCAATTCATCTTGATTACGTGCCTTTTTTTTCCTCTTACGTTCTTTTATAATCCTAAATAGTTAAATAGACCAAGCCAAATTAGAGAAAAACTCCCATTACTGAGGAATTGTTTCATCAACCCTTATTTTTTGTATCTTTAATCTTCCATTGTGCTTATATTACATGATGATCACTAAGTAACAAAAACAAACAATAATACTAGCTAATACTAGGACCTGTGCTAGGAACTTTGCACTAAAACATTTTCTCATTTAATTCTCACAACTCTATTAGGTAAAAATTTTAATTATATTTTAGAGATGGGGCTCCAAGATGCTAAATAATTTGCCCAAGGTCACCAATATGTTCACCCTATACTGATCACCACCAATATAGTAGTGCCAGAACTGAAACCTGGGTGTATGTCTGAAACCAAAATTCATGCTCTTAACCATTTCTCCAGTATTCTAAAATGTTCCTTTGCAAGTTTCTAGAAAGCCCTTTTATATCTAAAATACTGATTACTTGAAGTATCATGTTAATAGGATGTGAGTACCACTAAATGATAATTGTAGTACAGTAATGCTACAATTCTTTACTTAATATATTGGACATACATACATTGAATTCAGACCACAAAGTTAATCCATTTGATTCCTAATCTGAAAAATGGGCACTAAATTTCCATATGTTCTTCCTAAGAATATAGTTTATTTAAAATAGTTACATTCATTATTTCTAAAATTGGTATTTGGTTGGCATGTAGAAATTTAAAACTTTGCAAGGAAAAAGATGTAGCATACATGGTGTCTATGAGAATGAGAATCAAAAACCAAGATTCTTCTGTATAGGGCTTAGCACACTCAGCGCCTACTACATTTAATAGTTAGGCACTCAATAATGGTGCAGATATGGTGTATCTTCCTATGTAGGATAAAGTACCTGTAAAGGCTAAAAAATGATCAGTTGTTCAAGATAGCATCATAAGTTTCCTTTAAAGGGCAGACTGTTGGGCATTCTTAAGAGACTGATAGTAGAAAACCATTTCCATTGTTGCCAAAATTCTTTAAATTTCTTTATATGCTCTTTTTTTAATGGCCAATTTTACTTTTTTTAATAATTTTTTTATTTTTCAATTACAGTTGACATACTATTGTATTAGTTTCAGGTGTACAACAGTGATCAGATATTTATATAACTTATGAAGTAATCACTCCAATAAATCTAGAACCCATACATAGTTATTACAATATTACTGACTATATCCCCTATGCTGTACTTTACATCCCCATGCCCATTTGTAACTACCAGTTTTATTTCTTCATCCTTTCCCCTTTTTCACCCATCCCCCAACCCTCTCCCACCTGGCAATCATGAAAATGTTTTCTGTATCTTTGAGTTTGTTTCTCTTTTGTTTGTCCACTTATTTTGTTTTTTAAACTCCACATATAAGTGAAATCATATGGTATTTCTCTTTCTCTGTCAGACTTACTTCACTTAGCATAATACTTTCTAGGTCCATCCATGTTGTTGCAGATAACAAGATTTCATTCTTTTTTATGGCAGACTAGTAGTCTGTTGAGTATGTGTACCACTTCTTTATTCATATATTGACAGATACTTAAATTGCTTCCATATCTTCACTATTATAAATAAAGCTGCAATAAGCACTTGGATGCCTATGTCTTTTCAAATTAGTGGTTTGGTTTCTTTGGCTACATACCCAGAAATGGAATTTGCTGGGTCCTGTTTTTCTTGTTATAGCCTTTGTTTTAAAGTTTATTTTGTCTGGTATAAGTATTGCTACTCCAGTTTTTTTTTTTTGTTGCTGTTGTTTTTTTCCATGAAATATCTTTTTCTACCCCTTTTACTTTCAGTCTCCATGGGTCTTTCGATCTGAAGTGAGTCTGTTGTAGTTAGCATATGTAATGGTGTTTGTTGTCTTATCCATGCAGCCACACTATGTCTTTTAATTGGAACATTTAATCCATTTACATTTAAAGTTATTGTTGATAGATAGGTAGTTACTGCCATTTTATTATTCATATTTTATACCCTTTTTCCCTTCTAAAAGAAGTCCCTTTAATACTTCTTGTAATACTGGTTTGATGGTGAAGAACTCCTTTAGATTTTTCTTGTCTGAGAAGCTCTTTATCTGTCCTTCTTTGCTAAATGATAGCTTTGCAGAATAGAGTAATCTTAGTTGTAGGTCCTTGCTTTTTGTCACTTTGAATATTTCATGCCAGTACTTTCTGGCATGCAAAGTTTCTGTTGAGAAATCTGTTGACAGTCTTATGGGAGTTTCCTTGTAGGTAATAAAGTGCTTTTCTTTTGCTGCTTTTGAGATTCTCTGTCTTTAAGCTTTGGCATTTTAATTATGATGTTTCTTGGCATGGGCTTCTTTGGGTTCATCTTATTTGGGGCTCTCTGTGCTCCCTGGGCTTGTATGCCTGTTTCCTTTGCCAGGTTAGGGAAGTTTTCCATCATTATTTCTTCAAAGAGGTTTTCAATTCCTTGCTCTCTTCTCCTTCTGGTACTCCTGTGATGCTTGATGTTGTCCCAGAGGCCCCTTAAACTACCCTCATTTTTTGGATTTTTTTTTTCTGCCCTGATTGGGTGTTTTCTGCTCCCTTATATATACCAAATCGCTGCTTTGTCTAATCTGTTGATTCCCTCTAATTAATGTATTCTTCATTTCAGTTACTGTATTCTTCATTTCTGACTGGTTCCTTTTTATGTTTTCTATCTCTTTTTATGTTTCCTATCTCTTTGTTGAAGTTCTCCCTGAGATCATTGAGCATCCTTATAACTGGTGTTTTGAAACCTGCATCTGGTAGATTGCTTGTCTCCATTTTGTTTAGTTCTTTTTCTGGAGTTTTGTTCTTTTATTTGATCAAAATAAAATAATTTTGGCTGCCTCCCTGTGTTTGTTTCTATGTATTAAGTAGAGCTTCTATGTCTCCCAGTCTTGGTAGAGTGGCGTTGTGTAGTAGTTGTCCTTTGGGGCCCAGTAGTGCAGTCTTCCTGGTCACCTGAGCTGGGTACTACTGGTGTGGCCTTTGTGTGGGCCCTCCTGTTGGAGTTGAGCTTTGGTTGCTGTTGGCACATCAGTGGGGGCGGAATTGACCCTCAGGCTGATTGGTTGTGAGGACCTGCTGTGACTAAAGTGGAGGAGCTGTTGTGCAGGGGCTGACCCTACGGAGCAGAATTCTCTTTAGTGGGACTCTGGTGCCTGCCTAGTCTGCCATTTGGGTATGTCATTTGTGGAGGTGGTTGTGTCGTACTTTGGTGTGGTCCTAAGCTGGTCACTGGGTATATTTGTTCTGGGGCCTCTTGGGAGGGGCTCTGGTGCAGGCCAAGGTCAGCTGCTGCCTGTGCCCTGCTCTGGCTAGTTGGTATGAGTTACAAAGTGATCTGCACGTGGTTGCCATTTTGTACTGGGCTTAGAGGTGCATGGGAGAGACTCATCTGGGAATTGAGGCTAGTGCCGGGTTTGGGGCTACTAGCAGGAAGTACAGGGCATGCTGAGGCCAGATGCTGCTTGTTTGGGGTATGTTAACCTTTGAAAGATTTTAGGAAAGTCTGAAGCATGAGCCAAGACAGGCTGTTTGTATGGAAAAGACACTGGAAGCAGCTTGGGTGGGGCAGGGTCTCAGGGAATTACTAGGGTGGGGTGACTCAGCTATGTCACCAGCCTGAG